TCCTTCAATCTTAAAAAACAACGTTTTCAACAAAAAATTAATTTATTATTTTTAACGATATTTAGTTTTTTAAAGTTTCGAATACTTTAATTATGCGCAAAATGCGTAAAAACAGCGTTTTTCAAGATGGCTGATGATTGTAAAAACCTCGCCAATAATTGCACCAAAGTAAATCGCCAAAAATCTGTGGAACCATCTACCAAAGTAGCACCCAATTTTGTTAACAATTTATTTTTAAAAAGCATAAACATACTGAAAAAAAAATTTTTTTTTTTTTTTTTTTTTTTGCACACAGTTTAGGAAATACTGCTAATAATGCCTAAAAGATCAAATATAGTGTCTTTTCCGCTGAGGGAAGATCAAAATGAATATTTTACAGCGAAAAACACCTATATTTTATACAATAAAAAAAAAAACAACTCTGATTGTTCGCCATATATTTCTCACATATGCACAGATTAGTAATTGTTTGTTTCTCACACATGTGCAAATCAGCAACAGTTTGTTTCTCACCAATGAAAAAATTTGCAAAATCAACATTCTCATCAAGGCCACTTCAGAGGGCAAGTACGGACTAATGTTATAGCTCAGGTCTTGGTAACATTCTGTTATAACATAAAGATGCTCTTGTGATGTGCTGAGTTAAAATTACCTCACTAAATTATTTGAAATTAAATTAAAAAGTTATTAATGAATAATGTTTCAGAAATTTAAGTACTAGAATAAAAGATATCTGATTTATATGAGATAAAATACAAGCTACAATATATCACAAACAAATATTATGAAATAATATTAAATAATGAAGATTATAAATCTAGACATTTTAGCCAAATTTCCAGACTACATGAATACATATTTAACATCTTTTTAGGTCAGTTAAAAAAAATACACGGGGTACTTCTCTTAAAACTACATATACTTTCATAAATTTATTATAATCATATTCAAATTATGTAAAATTTAATGTCTTCCATATGCTCTTACTATTAGTTTAGCATGGTTGAAAATGCATAATTAACAAGTAACATAAAACAAAATAAAGTCAATTCCAACTTAGGTCAACAAAGAAAAATTTTATTTTAGTTACTTTCTATTAACATATTATCATTTTTTCATTTCTAATTTTTGAAGTTGATGGTGGTCTATAATTTCTCATTCTATCCATTTCTTGTAAGGCTTCATTATTGCAAGGAACCTTTCCACAGAGTTTCGAGCAGTTCAGTTCTTCAATTAATATTCCATCTAATGATTTCACACGACTGAAGGTGATATATGCTTGACCTACTGCGAAGAGTATAATACTAATGGATTATTAATAATTGCTTGTGTTGTAGTTTCTTTTCGCATTCTCTGTTTGTGAAACAAGCAAGGGACATTTTAAACATATACAGTCAAAAGTCGTTAATCCGGACTCGTCGGGACTTCGGCGATTCCGGATTATAGATCATCAATTTAAATCTGGTAAGATGGCATACAGAAATTATAAAATTAAAAATATGAAACCATAATTTATGAAATAAAGAACAATTATGATCTAAAGGGTATAAAAATTTACAAAAAAAAAAAAAAAGCTTAATATTTATTTGTTTACTTTATTAAACATTTCTTTCAATGTAAGTTGTTTAAGTTGCTTTGTTTTATGTGCTAATACTTTATCTTTAATTCTATATAAACAGACATAATTTCTTGTTCAGTTACAAAGTTCCGCTGTTCAAGTCCTGTAATTGCTGTGCCGAGAATACTGACTAACTTGTCAATCGAAATTTTTTCGTTTTCACTAACCTCTCTGTCACTTTCTTCATGCCTTTATCCATTTTTTGCAACAATTCCACTTATTGTTTGATGGACATCGAAATATACAGGGGTTATCCAAATTAAACTTCCCCAACTCAGAGGCCTGTGCAGAGTGTTGTATGGGTCATAATGTGATGAAATTTTAAAAACAGACACTTCAGATCATGCGCGCAAGATTATTAAACAAAAAAATTAGTACAAGAAGCTGCCGATAGGTGGCGCTGCAGATCAACAAGACATTCTACCAGATGTTCTATATGTGTGCCGTGGTTCTCCACAACTCTTTCCATTTGCAAAGCAGTGTGTTCCACAGCGCAACGCAGTAAGTCCACATTAACTCCACGAACATGTCGAATAATTGCATCTTTCAGATGTGCCAAGGTTGCTGGGTTGTTCTAGGTAGACCTGATCCTTTAAGAATCCCCATAACCAAAAGTCCCATGGCATGAGATCAGGCGAGTGGGTAGGCCAAGCTGTAGGGAAACAGCGGGTGATCACACGTGTATTGGTAAAAGTTGCCCATAACACCCATTGAATGCCACGAAGAATATGGGCAGGTGCACCATCCTGCATAAATATCGTGTCCTGGAGGCGGCCACGTTGTTGCAGTTCAGGGATCACAAACGTTGTCAACATGTCCTGATACCGTTTTTCCTGTGACAGAGCAAGTTTTGAACCCTGTTGGAGTCACCTCTTCAAAAAAATAAGGCCCAATGACGAATGTTGCAGTGAAACTGCACCATACAGTAACGAAAGGGTTCAAGGGCACTTGATGGATTGCACGCGGGTTTTCACATGCCCAAATGCGGCAGTTGTGCATATTCACTTGAGCATTCCTACGCATGCAGATTCCACAACATGTCGTCCTCTACCTGGTAAAATTCCCATCTGTCCCGTTCTTTTGAACTTCTTTGTCATGTCTCGTAGAGCGCGTGTGGTGTCATTGGTCCTCGCCGTAAGATCTTCAGCCGACGGAATGCTCTTATCGCAGCAAAGGAGTTCTCGTCATTCTGGTAGGAAAGTTTCACTAACAAAGCTTTGTCTTTCAAAGTCGTCATTGTGCATCAGCGAGCTGGAAACAACTGCCTGTGCAAGGCCTGTCTTCCACTTTTGTAGGGCTCATCTTTTGGATACGTTGCGCAGAAGCTTTATTTCTGCAAATCACATTGTTGCAATATGCACATTACTAGTGTTGCAGCGCCACCTATCGGAAACTTCTTGTACTAACTTTTTTTGTGTAATAAATCTCGAGTGCATGATCTGAAGTGTCTGTTTTTAAAATTTCATCACATTATGACCCATACAACACTCTGCACAGGCCTCTGAGTTGGGGAAGTTTAATTTGGATAACCCTGTGTTTTCGCTTTGTTATGTTCATGAAATTGCTCTAACAGTCTGCAAAAAATAATAAGCCGGATCCAATTAGAAGATTAAGGAACAACGCAATCTGCAACATTAACTGAAATAGATAATTTTAGTTTATACCGTCCGTTATACATTAAGCGAACGTGCGTAAACATATTACGCGCTCTTGCGCACACGCATATGCGCAGCCGTAAAGGTCTTACGCACACGTGTAAATGTCTATGCACATGCGTAAACGTCTATGCGCCGTCAACGCGACGCATGCACAGAAAGTTTGTAGCTTTGAGGTCCGAATTATAATCATTCCGGATTATGGGTGTCCGAATTAACGGCTATTAACTGTATCACATTAACATAGAAATATGGGGAGAATTTTTGCTACATAATGGGACATTACATCTGCTTCATCCAACTCTATAAAACTACAATTCTTTAATTTCATGCACTTTAAAAATCTTTAGAACTCTTAGTGTTGCCAGTTATTTTTGTTAAATATTACAATTCCATTTATCGCAGTCATGTACTATTATTTATAAGTTGTTATAAAATTAATTTTTAAAACATGTGAGAATTCCCAATAAATTGTCCTTATTTGTAAGTTTTATAATACACTATTTAATAAAAACAGCATATCTTTAGTTTCTATAAACAAGAATAAATAAGTAGGAATTGACTTTAATATGTGAAAAAAATTGTATTAACATCAAATGTCATCTACTACAAGTTTAAAAAAATATATTTGAACTTTGAGTGGATGAATAAAAAGTATTTTATTCACAATTGAAAATTTGAAGATACAGGGAAAGTGTGAGCTAATAGTAGAAATTTAAAAAATGATTCAACTTGTATATCACCTCCTTTAAAGAAATAACATAAAAACATGATGGAAAATCCTACATACTATTATAAAACATACTCTAAAATTCTATTTATTCTTTTATTTAATATGATTTTAAATTTTATTATAAAAAACTGTGTACCAAAAAAAAAAAAAAAAAAAAAAAAAGAATTAACATCAAATCAGAATATAGAATTAAAACTTAAAAGATTTTTCAAACAATTGCAGTTTTAACAACTCTTTATTCACATTACGAATGAAATCTTAATTATTTCCTTTTGATAAATTCAAAACCATGTATTGCCAACTTATATTTTAAACATTAACATTAACAATAAACTGCAAATTATAATATTGCTAATATATGAAATACTTATAAATTGACATTACTAAATTTATTATGTCAATCAGTCTGTAGTCAGATAAAGAAGAAAGTAGAATGATTTTTAATTTAAACTCAAATTTTCTTCATAAAGCAGATGCACACAGTTGAAGCCAATTAAATGGGCAACTTCCAAATTTCAAAAATTTTTAATGAATAAAGCTTTTTGACTGTTAAGATACTAATGTCTTAAAATTCCTATAAAAACAAAACCTTCCCCTATAAATGTAATATAGAAGGGATTCTCAGCTGGGGGTATGCAATCAACCCTTTTAATGTTAAGTATTTGGTTTTAATTCACAAATGTAAAAAAAAACCACTTTGATTTGATTCAAGTTGCAGTATTTATCTACATTTTCTATACTTTTTGTTGTTTTAATTTACAAAATACGTCAAAAAACAGTCTAACTCTACCTGAATGTAAATATGTATTTTTCCAGTTTGGGAAAGGGAGGGGGGAAGATCTAGCAATGGTGAAAGGGACAAAACAGGTTGAGAACCACTGTATGATACTATATATTAGCAGTAAACATAATAAAAAAAATACAAGAATTATCAGATAACTATATAAATGCTATGATTATATTTCTGAAAGCAATTTTTTTTACATAAAATTACCTTGTCTTCCAATCGTGATATATTTAAATGCCTTTCACAACATGTTACAGCTTCATCAAACTTGCCCATTACTTTTAAAGTATTCCCAAGATTTCCACTAGCTTTTCCTTCTCCCAATTCATCATTCATAGCTCTGAAAATTTAAGAATTGCTCAAACAATGGTATTCGATAGGAAAAAAAAATATATATATATAACATTTAAACATAATTCTTTTGAGAGGATGGCATGAACAGCTCCATCAATATAGGAAAACCCTATAATATAATTAATTAAATACAAAATCTAAAGTTATTAACTTAAAACTATATTTCTAAGATAATTTAAAAAATTCTACTAAGCACCTGGCAACTGTCAGATCACATCTATGATAGTCCATGGCTTTATTGTAATCTCCAAGATAGAAATAAGCATTTCCTAACTGACTATATATAGCACTGAGTGTTTTTAAGTCATCTGTTCCAACTCGAATAGCTGCTTCGAAAAATGCAACTCCACCAGCAAAATCTCCATTTTTACACAATCTCTCACCTTCCAAAGCTAACTCCAAACAAGCATTTCGCTCCATTATTCCTAATCAACAAAAAAACATATAAGCATTTATTCATTCAACAGTGATTTTTATGTTTAAGATACTATAGATATGAGAAACAGAGGAAATTGCGTAAATCTGTAGAACTGTCTGTCTTACAGGACTGTCTGTTTTGAAGGTTAATAACTCTCAAAACTGTAATTAATAATATTCAAAACTGTAGTCCTGCAAATATCAACCTTTGAAAACTTTTCTTTAATTATATGAGTGAATAATGTAATCATGCCAAAGGAAATGTAGAACAAATGTTAAAGGAATTAGAGCAATATAAATATTCATGTTGCTACAGTACCTTTAATAGCTATTCTTCAGTTTATTACTTTTATTGTAACTGATTTTTATTTTATTTATTATTATTATTTAGTTTTTAATTTTACTACATACAAAAATGAGAATGCAGCATACAATGCAAATACTTCAGATCATTCCCACAAAATACACTGGTTATCATAAATTAAGGAAAAATCACAAAAATCAAGATTACTGAAAAAGTTACATGTAGAATTTTATGAAACTTCTCCACAATATACAACACATAGTAAGGTATCAAATAACATAAAAATAAATTACCAGACAATTATAGTAGTATAGAAATTAGCACATTATAAAATGAAGATATCGAAGGTGTCGGTTTGCTATAGGAAAAGTACTTTCAATATGGAATATGGTCAGCTCTAGAAGCAATACAGCACATACAGCGATGCATGATGCTTTCAATTATGCGGTCTATCAGTTCCAATGGAAATGAGAGCCATTGCTCTTGCAAAGCAGTTACAAGCGCGGCAAGGGTCTGAGGGGACGGATTGAGAGCAGTTAAGACGTCTCTCTAAAGCATCCCAAATGTGCTTGATAAGATTCAAGTCCGGGGATCGAGCTGGCCACTCCATGCACATAAATGTTTCCTGTTGAAGATAATTTACGATGCGAGCCCTGTATGGTCTTGCATTATCGTCCTGAACAGGAAAGACACCTATTTACCCCGGCACATGGATGCACATAAGCATCAAGGATGTCATCTCTATAACCGGAGCATCACGATTTTCCGTTGGAAAGACATGGAGATCTGTGCATCCACCCAAAGAGATGGCACCCCAAACACAGAAACTGCCTCTTCCGTACGCATCTCTTTAACTGATGTTTGACGGATGGTAATGGGTTCCAGGTTCTCTCCATATCAAATAACACCTATTATCGCTTTCTAAACTAAACTAGACTCATCCGTAAAGAAAACAACCCTCCACTGATCAGGCATCCAGTAGACATGTTGTTGTGCCTAGTGCAAGCAGTCCCTCCTATGGAGTGACGTGAGCGGCACGCAAATGGCTGGTGGCTCCTGAAGCCTTCAAGCACAGTTGACGTTGACACCAACCTTCCAATGGCTGCAGCAAGAGAGGATCTAAGAACAGTCGGAATAGCGGTTCTATTCCTGCGTGCACATAATGTCAAATATCGGTCATCGGCGCTCGTTGTAGCAGTTGGCTATCCTTGGCTTAACCTCCTACATGCCGAATCTGTGGTTTGAAATCGCCTCCAAAGTCTATGAACCACAGAAGGATTCACATTTAGCCATCTGGCCACTTCTGTTAGACTTTATCCCACCTTAGTCTCCCAATGGCTCTCCATCGTAGTTCTGCAGGCAAATGATGGAGGTCTTGTTACGAATTGGCTATCTCAGTTTCTGATGTCACCATCGCAGTGAAATATGTGGGCTTGCTCTCAAACTGGACTTTTTTTCCTCGCAGATGACATATTCTGAGTGCAGCGCCACTAATTTTCATTTGCTTTTATTCAGCTACTCTTACGGACATATTCAAATTTTACACAGTTTGGCTTATGTTTGAGGGAGTTATCATTTTTTGTGTTTTTCCTTAATTTATGATAACCAGTTTACTTTTAAGTGAGAATAGATAATGATTGATTAAATTTTTAACTGGTTTATTAGTTACAGGGGAGGGGGAGATCACATAATTTCTTGTTAATAAGTTATAATCATCAATAAAATTTATACATTTATATTAATGTTTGACAAATGCAAAATATTAGTTTAGATTATTTAATATGTTTGCTAAGAGTCTCATGATAAGAAAATTTTCAAATTTATTTAAAGAATCAGCTCACATACATATTATCAATAAAAATGTACCAATGCATTCGTCAGCATGTTTACAATCATTCAATTTTTGTCATTAAAAGAAAACCAATATTAAAATTTAAAAATTTATTGTAGGGGGATAAAACTTAGAATTCACTTCATTATGATAAAAAACACTTTTTTTTTTTTTTTTTTTTTTCTTTATACCAGCAAAATGATACATATATCAGCACAAATAATTATTAAAAAAGACGGTACTCAATAAATTCATATAAACATTGCCAAATATTAAAAAAAAAAAAAAAACAAGCAAGATGAAAATAATGACATTCAATCAGGAATTCATAAAAATTATATAAACAAGAAAATAAATAAAGTACTTGCGAAGTAATATAACATTCCTCTGTCAACTGTTAAGAAACATTTAAAAAAATTAAACTGTTGCTTACATAAAGAAATCATTAAAATATATTTAAAGCCTGAAGTGAAACTGAGTGGTTAACATTAAGGAAATTAAAATTTCACAAATACATGAAATTAGAGATTACAAAATACAGAAAATTTTAATCCGCAGGCTAATATTAATGTTACCTACGTGAGATTATATGTGGCATGCAAAATCGTATATTTAACCAAAAATATCATTCTCTATGTTAAAAATGTTAATGATAAAATAATGTAAAACGTCCGATTCATTTCTAGATATTCACTACGAGTTCAATATTTCTAACACAAAGCAGTGCATCCACGCATAAAAACTTATTGTTAATATGCACAAAAATCAAATTTAGTGTCGCAGAATTTCAAAATTTTTCTCTTAAATACAACAAACAGAAAAGAAAAACCGTTACGCATAAGACAGATGTTTACGTACCAAATCTGTTGTCAGGATGTTCCACACCAAGTAATAATATTGCTAAGTGTTATAATATCACACTTTGTTAAAAAAACTGCCTATGTGATTCATCGATATGTTCACAGTCAAAACTTAAAATACAGAACTCAAGTTCGTTTGTGTGTACATCCCTCTAACAAGCGAGGGTTCTTTGAAATCAAGATGGCTATGGCAGTTGCTATCTGGTATGACGTCATGATCGAGGACTCCGCCTACAAGGAAAGGATGTTGAATGCCGGTTTAGATTCGAATTTCATTTTTTCCCCAGAAATCTAGCATCTTGTTTCGCTTTCAAGACTCTGAGGCAACAGTGAATGTAGTAGAAGCACGGTCAGTGCGAGGCCGTTTGCCACCCAGTGCACTTCTCAGCAAAAATTGCTCTCACTTGGCCCTCCTACCTAAATTTTGAGCCTAGTGTCTTCCCAAAATTCTAAAAATGTTGCTTCTGCTGAATTCTGCCGCCCGTTGCGGCGCACTTTGGAGCCAGTTCTGAGTAAAAAAACGCGTGTAGTTCTTTTCAAATATTTATACTATCAGGTTTAGATGAAAGTTTCTTCACTTAAATAATTTCCTTAATTTTAAATAATATGTTCAAAACTCGGAAGGGGAAGAATTTTTATTAGCTGCCGAAAAAATAATTATTAGTATTAAAAGTTTTGTTTCAATATGTAAGTGTTCAACTTAAGACGTGTTTATGAGAAAATATAGTAATTTTATAAGTATGATAACAATTGGTTAGATGAACGGTGTACTTTTAAAACGAATACTCTGCATACATTTCGTCGATTCTAAGACGCCATCAGTTATTAGATGCACGCCTTAATTTTAATACCAACCACGAACAGATAAAAATAATTTTCATTCTAAGAAAATAAAATTAAAAAATTCCCTCAATAAATATATTTTTAATAATCAACTTCAGTTCATCAACGACAGTAGTATTTCTTTTTAAATTAACAGTTTAAAAAAAATTATTAGATACACCTTTTTTTTTTTTTTTTTTTTTTTTTTTTTTTTTTTTTTTTTTTTTTGGGCATGCTTATACAGGAAAAAAAAAAAGAGATGAGTCCTTGGAATAAAAAATTCAGTTATAATAAGAAAATTGTATATAATATATATATATAATAATTTATTTACTAAATAATATTGATACGGTCAGATTAGTTTTTTCGTGCATTCACATGTTTTCCAACATTGATTTTAAACAGTTTTATTTCGCGTAAGCAGTTTTTTCTTTTTTCCATGTTAATAATTTTTTTTTTTAAAATTTCTTCTATGTTAATATTTTAGTAATACTGCGTTGAACTATTTCGTGGAGCTATAGCTCCTGGTAACTTTTTAGCAAGCTCGCTGCAATATTTCTACCTATATATATATATATATTATATATATATATAACACATATTATAGATTAAAAAGAAAGGGAAAGTTAAAAATTAGTAAAGCCTTAAAGTACATTTGATGCAGCTAATTCCTAAGTTGACATGTATTCATCCCACATTAAAAAAACAGTTCAAAACTACATACATACAAAACGTTTTAATTACATAATTTTCTTAACTTGATCATATTTGGAATTTAAAAAAGTTTTTTTTATTATTAGCAGCTTATCAGAAGATAAGTAAAAATTTTAAACAGACGATTTGAGATTTATTAAACTAAGTCTTAAAATCAACAAATGAGATGGACCGCATTTACTTTTTATGAATGCAGTATTTCTTTTAATGATTAGTAAAAACATATATATTGGTCTTAATGAGAGATGTGTTTTCGGAATCGCGTATATCACATTCGTAAGGAACTCCGAAACATTTTTTGAATCCAAAGAAATTATAAAAGACACTTCATGCCTTAAAAAGAACGTCCCATGTATTTCAGTTGAGATAGCAACCCCCCTCTTCTAATCATGTCCCTGCTCTTTCGTCCTAACTGATGTTTAGCTCAAAAATTCCTTTCCTCGTCTACTGGTTATAATTTGACCTCCCTTTGATGGTCCTCTCTCCCCATCTGATAGCCCTTCGTCCATATCATTTCTAACTTCTCTCCTCAACAGATGGGTCATTCTTCCAATAGCATCCGTTTCCTCCTCCTTATGAAGATTGCTCCGTGTTTTTCTGAGGGACGTTAAGATGCTTTCTACTTTTCTTACTTTTTCGCACAAAATATTTAACATAAAAATGCAGCATAAATAAATCGCATCATTAAATGTATTTACATGACTGTTAATAATCAGTGAGGGAAATTTGAGAAAGGACATTCCTTCACAGGTGACATGAAAAAAATTAAACGAAATGACAATGTAAGCTTTATATCCGCCACACATTGGATTGTCTCCGTTACAGAATATTTACGAACGTTTCCATTTCCAGTCCAGTTGCGAAACATTTAGAGGTCAAGAGAAAACGCAATTTTGTCTCATAATATAAGATTTATTTATGTAATCATATTCTTTAACACAAACGGTAGATTATTATTGCCATTTTCATCAAATGTGCACAACTTTGCCACTTTATCAATCAAGATTTCGAGGCTTCGATACATATAGAGGAAAACATGCATGCATAAATGAAATATTGCATATGAATATAATCGACTGAATTACATTATGTATGTTATTATTATTATTATCATCATCATTCCAAATGAAAACGCAGGTAAAGTTTCTTATTTTAGAAGTTCTATGAGAACAGTATACTGTTGTATGGAACAGTATGTTCTACGGTAACAGTATACTGTAGTATGGAACAGTATGTTCTACGGTAACAGTATACTGTAACTAAAATAATTCCAGCTGATTCCAGTCGATGATGTAAACATAAAGCTTTTAGGTATTCACCCTTTTTTACTTCCTTGTGCGAAGTAAAAAGGAAGTATTGTAATCGTGAAAAGTTTTAGGCAGCATATTTCAACGAAAATATTCATTTTGACCGCTATCGAATGCAATTTAACGATGTTTTTGCGTGATATCTGTACGTAAGGACAGAATAAAAGACTCGTTTCCTCCAAAAATATTATAAAACTGCTTTAAAATGAATTCTGAAGAGAATTTTTCTTGGCGTCTGTACGAACGTATGTACGTACGTGCGAAAGTACGTATCTCGCATAACTCAAAAACGATTAGCCCCAGAACATTGAAATTTTGTACATAGGACTGCTATAACATGTAGATGTGCACCTCGTATTTTTGTTGCAATCGGCCGCACCAAACGTATATAAATATATTTATATATATATCCACTCTGTTACCCGGCTCAGTGATCTCAGTTTCTTTACTCGTATATAATTGTAAATTGTACATTTTTTGCTTTAAAAATGATTGAATTATGCTGTTTTTATCTTCCGGTTAAGGTTTTTATGCCTTTAGTAAATCTGTATGCAATATTTTTAGAAATATCAACAATTTTAAAGTTGTTTAAGTGCCTCTAAGCCTTTTTTTTTATGGCAGCCATTGATTGTTTACATTTGAAACAGCAAACTAGTGGATTTGCTAGAGAAACTTAGCTTCGCAACAACAAAGATAACGCCTTCCTTTATTATTGCCAATTAAATCATTCTTAATCCTTTCTGGAATTTTTTCGAGGAAATAAGTGTTTAAGATTTACTTCGTAATTTTTAATATAGATATTTTGAGTTTTAATGTATTTTTGCCTTCTCGCGAAGTGAGAACTGAATTAATTGAATGAGAAATACTCAATCGTCTGTAAAAAAACTGTTTCTTTTTGTTTTGTTGCTTAGTTTTTTATACATCATTCTAGCTTTATTATAGTATTTGAATAGAACACGTGTCAACGATTAGATAATTCTATTCTTTAAATGATATAAATTTTGTGCATTATGAGTTATAATATGAACGAAATATAATACTGTTAAGTGAATCTAGCGCCAGACTGTCGCTATGGTAAACAAATACTAGAGTGAATTTTAAAGAATGCATTTATTCTATTGTGGTTTATGCGCTGTCGGCTAAGTAGATTTAATTCAATCCAATAAGTTTAAATAAAATGCAAGAAAAAATGTGTTTAATTTAATATTCCGTCTAAGGAAGTCATGTGGTCATCAGATTTTTTTTATTTATGAATGGGTAAACTCTCTCAAATGAGAAGTAATGTATTTAATTCGAAACCCAGTAACTGAGAAATTTCATGTCTAAATAAGTAAAGTAGACATACTCAAAATTTTTGGAATTAAGAGAGAACAGTTTTTTTCTGTGGATAAATTCAGAACTCACTTAAAGACACTTGCTAAAAATTGCATATTAAAGAAATTAACTCTCTGATGTGCGCTGAAATAGTAAATATTTTCCATAAATATTGCTAAACGAGGAACTTAGATCTTTATGCAGTCGTTTGCATCGTAAGGAGTATTGATCATTACACAAAACTATGAAAAAATTACTGAACTGTCACCCAAAGGAAATTCAATGTTAAGAAAGGAGGTTTAAATTAAATTTATAAGTTCAAGGCTTACTTGATGCGAAGTTTACTGAGTATTTTTACAGTTGCAGTTAACAGAGTGAATACTTGATTTTATGCTCCTGTTCAGTCACTTTGCACCTGTCAGAATATGCATTTTATGTTCCTGTATTAAAATTCTACAAGATAAATCTTTTCATTTATAGGAATGGAAGCATATTTTTTCATAAAATGTTAGAGTAAAAGTTAAATGTGCTTTGTGGACTTAGAGGAACTGAAGGCTATTTAAAGATTTACTTTTCTCTAATTTTAATTCTTAATATTAATAATAATTTTAGGTTGAATTTGTCTCAAATTACTTTAATTTTAAAGAAAACAATTAACATAAATCTAGAGTTTAATTAATTTATTTACTTACCGCACATTTTATTAGCCCAGAAGTGCTATTACTTTCGTTTTGACATTTTGTGTTGATTCACTGTAAACAGCAAATCACTTTTTAAATTGTTGCCACTAAATATTAGAGCCCTGTATTATATTTAAGAAAAAATAAAGAATAACTGCATAAAATATTGTATGTTGTTCCGAACTCTGTCATACACCAAAGCCGTAGACTGCCATAAAAACGTACGTTCCCCGAAGAGGGCATCGTAAACCCAAATTTGCATATCTGGAATTGTTTTATTCTTTTTCATATTTATAAACTTTAAACGATTTTTGATAATAACTCAACGATTTTCAAGCGAGCATGGCAGCACTTTTTACGGAAAGAAGAAAACATTTTATCCCAGCCACAGATCTGTATCGGAAATTCTAAAGATGCACTTTTAAAATTATTTACGGTATGCTGTTGAACTGAATTTTATGTTTAGTGCGAAGAACAGGATATTTAATAAATAAAGATAACACACAAAACGCTTAAA